GATGATACATATCAAACTTTGGGCATTTTCTATGTGTCTCTGTCACAATTGCAAAAGTGTTGATGCAAGAACCATAAATTCAGCGAAACTTAAACCCCCATGTTATGGCCCATGTTTGTTGAAAACGAAGCGTCTCCTGTGGTGCTTTGGCTTTTGCTCCTTCTGCCCAGGAGCATTTGGCACAAGACTATCACATGGACGGCAGCCTGGGATGCAAATTCGGTATCCCACAGAAAATGACATCGGGCCAGATGCTGATCGGAGCACAGTTGTGGCAATAAGTTAGCTGCAAGATGACATTTTGTGCCTCCTTGCCAGCTTTTTCATCCATGACACATCATGGCAATCATGACAGGTTTCAGTTTTTTTCAGGCCCAGGGTTTGCTCAATACATGGTCCTTCGGATGATTTGTTATGCCGCTATGCTCTTTATGGCTCACTTGGTTCGGAATCCCTCCACTGGGCAGTTGGATGCCTGCAAACCAAGCTTAGGCATCATGATGCGCTACATGATGCAGGAAAAGTTGCAGACAATTGGTCGGATGGCTGGTTTAATTCCTTTTCGCTAGACGAGAGAGAGAGAGAGAGGTGCAAAGGCCTATAAGGCTTGTGCAAGCTTCCTGTCAGAAGTGGGTTGAACCTTAGGATTGTTGGCCCATATGCCAATCAGTTATCTAAAATCAATCACACGCATATATGCAGGAAAATAACTGATGCATTTGACCTTGAATGAACGATCTTGCCAACGAACTCAGTAACTTCGCGCTGGAACACGCCAGGTCAGCAGATTCTATATATGATCGAACCTGGGCACTGCAGGTTGTAGATACAAGAAGGAGATGGAAAGAGTATATAGTATATTTATCTATTAGTATTAGTAATAGAGTGTACATAAAACGAGCGAAGAAGTCTGACTGGTTTCCAAGACAGACAACTTCATGACATACATAGAACCATGGTATACCATGGTATACCATGGTATATATATATATATATATGGGAGTTGATCGAAAACCCCGTGTAAGGAGTTTTATATAAAACAGCCTTTCAGATGTTGTTAGAACCATCCGCGAAAGATTCGCGATGAGGTTCGCGAAAGTATCTTTTTTTTCCGCGAAAGATTTATCGAAGGTCATCGCTTTCATTGTTTTCCTTTCTACCGGACTGACAAAGAATAGAAATGCAAGGCAATCCTGCGGCAGAGCCAGCGGGCGGAAGTGTCCCCATATGTCACAGACTAACGAACTGAAGCCTCAACATTTCCGTGCCCAGCCCTGGCAGTGCGCAAAGGATTCTCCGATTCCTGTCCCCACTGTCACAGACTAGCAATCTGGGTAGGCACAGCCCTGACAGTGAGGCAACGACCTGCAGCTGCTCTGACGGGCTGTGCAGATGTTTGCAAATTTTACGGCTTCCCGGGGTGAAATTTCGCGAAAGATCCGCGAAAGCTTCGCGAATGTGCCGCTAAAGTCTAGGTTCCCAGCGTGAGGCCCCCCAACATTCCCCAAGCTGCATCGCCCTGTGTTGGTAGCTGACACGAAGATTGGGTTGAGTTGTGCCTGACTCTATTTGGCACAACTGTCGCACAGATGCTGCAAGTGACCCTGAGTAGCTGTGGAAACGTTCAACCATCTACTGGGGTCATGCTGCAAGATGTCTCTCCCTATTTTGTGATACTATGGCATGTTCCGGCCCATGTTAGCTAGACATGGTTGTAGGACCATGCTTCGCGATGAGGCCGCGAAAGATCCGCGAAAGATATATATCTTTTTTTCCGCGATGAATGGCCATTCCAGGATGAAAGAATATTGATCAACCACCATATCTTAGTATCAGTATTAGTACACTACAGGGTGTATATCGTTGTACTTTGGAAGCCTACTCAGTTTCAGCGCAGTTTTCTCGTGCGATGGTCGCTTGAAAAATCCACAGTTTACTGTCCAAACACGAGCTGGCAAGCTGGCACTCAATCTTGCCAAGGAATCTGCTTTGGACTTTGAACTGCCGCGCATTTAGTGTTCCAGCGTAAAAAAAGGTGCACGTCGCCATTTGGCCGTTTGAATTTCATAAGTCACTCCATTTCGCAACAGTTTTTGGGTGCACTTGAACAAAACATAGTTTCCATTACTCAATGATATGCCCATGTTGCACAACGGGCAACTTGCTTGTGCGCAGTGCGCATGACCTGGCATCAATCCTTATGATCAAGTTGCGTTCATGTTGCGCGAATAACTTTGCCAGAGTGATGTGCTATGCTATGAACTTTTAGGTTGCAAGATGTCCTGATAGACAATCCATTCAAATTCAAAGGTATCTTCGGTTGGGTAGAGGGCTTTGGCAAAGCAGTGGGCACATGTTCGCAACCTAAGCACCTCAATACCTCTCTTGTACAAGTCTAAACCTGCATCACTGACCATTGCACACGTATGCAACAACATGAAGACGATGGGCCGGTTCGTGGTGCAAACGTATGGGAGTATCTCAAGTACGAAGCGTGAGACCAGCCCGCCTGTAGTGTGCCCCATGATTTTGGACCTCAAGGCCTTCATGGTAAAACAATAGCTCAAGGCCTAGCAACTCAAATGCTCCGAGGGTGTATAATTACTGTAATAATTTGCATTCTTTATGCCTCGTGCCATTTAGAATCAAGCGTGCTCACAAGCACGCCCTCACAAGCTCACCGTCAAGTGAGCCTTGTGGTAGTCTACTCCGTGTGAAGACTGCGCAGTGGAGGAGGTTGGAGATAGTGACTACTTGTCGAGAGTCAAAGGCCACATGTCGTCGAATTCTATTCGGTTTCAATAGGTAAATTAACATATCTCCACTCAGTTGCTTGCAGTTGGAAAGTCCGCAGAAGAGGTCCAGGTTGGCCTGGAGTAGCCATCCTCCATCATCATGAGTTGTTTGGGACCTGCTCTCGCTGGGTCAGGCAGCTTGTGGAGATCCGCTCAGAAAAGGAGGGGAGGTCGCTCGCAGATGTTAAAGGATAACTATTATGTTTTGGTGTGATTTGTTTGTTTCCTCTGTTTTAGGGGGGTTTCGCTTCTCCGCGTTTCTTTGTTTCGCTTCTTGTTGCTTTTCTGGCTGTTCATTTCTTATAATTGCTTTGCATTGCTTCCCTTTGTGATTTCTCATGCTTTTCCTGCTTTTTGTGCTTGTCTGTGATTTCTCATTCTTGCTTTTGCATGCTTTTCTACTGCTTTTCTTCACATTCCTGCTTCTTGTCTTCTTGTGGCGTATTGTTTCCGTATTTTATTTGCTTTCGCCGTCCATGGCCTTTGTTGCCGTTTGCTTTCTATTTGTTGCTTTTCTAGCCGTCACTTTATGTTGCTTTTCTTTGCTTTTCTGGCTTTCCATACTTTCCCTATCTTTTCCTACTGTTGTTGATTGTTTGTTGCTCTAATTAGTTCATTTTGTTCGAGCTTTCGTTGCTCCTGTGAGTTTTGCAAGTTCTGTGGTGTATGCGATCGAGAAGGGAGGAAAGAATGAATGAGTTTTCTTTATATGATGCACTTGTGTTGTGCCTTAAGGTGAAAGAAACACTTGTCTCATTTTTTTTGCCCTGTAGCCTGTGTCTCATGTTGTGGCCTGGCTCAAAATGGAAAATGGCTGCGTGGATGACCTTTCTTCTAGAAAGAGGTAGCTTTCCACTTCCACAGGATGAACTATAAAGAAACCACGGCCGAAACGAAACAAAAAACACCAAATAAAAACACACCCAAAGATAGGCCAGCACAGATCCCCCAGACGGCCGGGAACATGTAGAAACCTTTCACAGATGCAATTTGTTAGCTTCATTAAATGGTGTTGGATTGCCTTTGTTTGGCTGTCCAACATTCTCATCCACTGGCCCATCTACTCGTGCTTGAGGATTGTATTATCATGGGAACAAGAAGCCCCTCAACATTCATTGATTTCCGGGCGTTTGCATTGTTGTTCACACCGCGAGCAAGCAGCAAGCCGATTCCCAACATTTTCATGTAACGGGACATGTATGTATACACATATATAATATAAACGTATAACAACATTTATATATGCATACACACATTTATATATATATACACATAGAGATAGTTATGTTGGTAGATTCAATCAGACTGTTGATCCGAGCAAACTGCTTAGGAACACACTGACAAGACCATGACTAGCCCTGACATTTCTACTCTCATCGAATCGGATCCAAAGCTCAAGCCTCAGGATGGCTGGGGCTGCCAAACCACAGTTCGCTGCCTCTCCCAGGTCAGTCACAGTCGACTTTGAGCAAGATGTGTTGCTGAAATGGGATGGGGAAGTGGGACAGTCGTTTCTTATTGTAATTTTGCGGTTTTGAGCATGGGAAGACGCACGGAACTTTGGTTGATAAGCTAGTCCTGCTGGCTAGAAGATGACTTCAGCCTGGTAGGAATGCATGAATGATGACTTCAACGGGTGAGACAAATGACAGACCCAGCCGCCCAAATTGAACGGTGGAGGAGTCCAAATATGCGCTCACCACGGCCAACGCTCAGCAACTTCGGTTCGCTGCTACCGCGGCGCGCTCCCGCCACCGGCTGCCATGTTCATCCAAGTTCGGCAATACAGACATAGAAAATTGGTTGTGAAGAGTACTCTTCAAGCTTGGAGGTTTCAAACATAGCTTCGCAATGGATCTAATCACCATTGTTTGCTTGAATCAACGGGACTGAGCATCAAAGATGACTTGCTGACTTGTGTAGAAGCCATTTACTACACATCCGTACACTCTGGCGGCCATTGAGCCAAACTGCCAAACTGCTCCCTGGAGGAGAGCATGTTACATGTTCATTGGGGTATGTTTGTCCAATGTGAGTATGACAGGAAAAACGAGACTGAATTGAACCACCTTTGTGAAGTGCATTTGACAATATTTTAACCTTTATGTACCTTCTCAACATAAGCATGAGAGAATGGCTGATGTTCCAAGTTGAGCACATGCGAAGCTTGCAACACGCAAACATGATGCAAACACAAATCGTTTCATGAAGCTTTGCGTTCTCTCTGTCCTGAAGTCCCAGCGCCATTTCAGCCACTTGATACTTGAAATGGCTCCTGGTCAAGTTCCCAAAGCTGACGGGAAATGGCAACATGCAGTTTTGGGGCCGTGCAGTTTTGTTTTGAATTGTTTCGCAGACCGCACAGCAGACACCCTTGAGGTTGGCCCAATCGGACGCTGAGCAATGCTGTCAGGCGCTTATGCCCTTTGTTACTAGTAGCGATGCCAGGAGCCCTAGTAGCTTCTTGTTCCTAGTAGGTCCTAGTAGTAAGGCCAGCAGCGCCCCTAGTAGTGTCCTTGCTCCGTTCGTAGCGATGCCCTTGTTCCTAGTAGCATTGGACAGTCTTTGGAGCTCAGAGCTGAAAAGGCGCAGAGATTTCTGACTCTTGGGCCTTTTCCAAGACCCAAGATCCGAAGCGGACGTGAATGGCAAGGACATTGCTTAGAATTGGAACTCATACCTCCTGAAGAGCTTATAAAGCGGATCCAAGTATACTTATTGCAGCTGACACTGCTTGCTGCGCCCAAAGAGAGGTTAGCGGTGTCAGCTATTCAAACTGCCAGGCTAACAATTCAGCATCCTGGCTGCAAGTTGAGGCGACAGGCGAGGCGACAGACATGAGATGTCCCAGCCATGGAAATCTGAATGATAAGGAGCCTAAGATGTGATTTTTATAATGGATAATTGGACCATCGGTCATCAGTGATCCGTACGCAGGTGTTTTTTCCGTTCCCTTTCTCTCTTGGCAATTGGACCAAACAAGCCTGGTACCTTCCATTCCCTTTCAAGATTTAATGAAGAGGCAAATCAGAAGTGATGGGTTCTTGTCGTGAGCAATTTAGGAAGCGTGTGCACTGGCATCACCCACACAACCTATCAGTGTGCTTGCATTACACTATGTGTTGAGAAGCTGCAAGGCTTTCTGGCACACGTGACGACTATGGAACTGACACACGATCCGCCGACTTCAAAACGCTGTAATGCTGGAGCTGACTGAGGTGAACTCACTGTTTTTTTGAGTTGCTCCGGCTATGAGTGTCTTGATACTTTAAGGAACATGTTCCGTGTTTTGCCAAGGTGGCCAATGGTGGATGGGATGCCAGCCATTGCAGGTGTCCTAGTATCGTACGTTGCAACAAAGGGTAGTCTTCTCTCAAATGCATGTTCAGAACAGGACAGTGCGGTTCTCTAGAGTTAGTGATGAATCCTGGCGCACGGAAGGGAAAGCGGCCAAATAGATGCTGGTTTCTCAAGGCTGTGGCTGATCCATCAGTGATGCCCTTGAAGAACCTGCTTAGTCATGGAAGAGAGGCATCCTCCAGGCACGATAGATGGGTGGCTTTCATGCAAAGGTTATGCACGGTCGGCATGTTTAGATCATCCAATTTGCATTTGTTTAAACGTTTCATCCTCCTATTGCCTTTGCCCCAGATTTTTCAAGACGTCCAAAGTTCCAAAGTGTGGGGCTTCCTTCCCGTGCCTTTCAGATTGCGTTCCCGTGCTTCAGCACTGTAACAGCGTACACCACGCGTTGGTGTTTTGACGAACTTCTCGCAGATGGCGGATTCAACATCCTCCATTTTGGGAAACATTCTTCCAGTCTCTGCCTCAGTCTTTAAGTTCTTTAAGCGGTGCGGCTTGGGCCACAAGGCCACTTTTTGTGTTTGTTTTCCAACAAATGCAGGTATATAAATACAGGTCTTTTGACTGGTTGTATTAGGCAGAAGATATCTACTGGACCGTTGGAACGCACGGGACTGGTTTTCTCGGATGTGCATGTTTAACCCCCACAGCAGAACCCCACAGCACTTAAGGCGGCTTCGGGAGCTCAAGGATCAGGCTTGGACATTGGGAGATGAAGGGTGGATAGGTCCATAGCATTGTGATTGCGATAGATTCTCACGTTGTTGAAACAAAGCTATACACAATTAGAGAGACAGAAAGGTCTAATCAAACCAAAAGGAACACATGAAAAATGATGAAACATGAAGTGCTGGAATGTCGGTCCCAAGTGTTTAAGCTTTCCAGGCGATCGTTTTGAGATTGAGACATATTGAGACCACTATAGACCATTAATGTCATTAATGTTACAAATTGTTACAAGTTAAGTTCTGAGCTTCAATGGAGTGAACTGCACACAACCAGGCAGTCAATGAACGACATGCATACAAGAATGCTGTCCCACGGAGTCGGGGCCCTCTGAAACAAGTTTGATTACTTGCTCGCAAAGGATCTCTGGCCAACAGCTCGTAATTTCGGCATCAGGCTTTAGGCGCAGACTGCAACCTGCCAGGTGGGTGTCGTAGAGGCCGTGCAGATCCTATGCATCGTGACGAAGCTCAGGTGGCTGTGGATGAATATGAAGGATTTGCAAGTTCTCTCAAACGCTTTGCTTCAAAATGGTCAGTTGTGCTCTTGGCCATGTTGATTATCGAATTCATCCGACAGAAGGCTTCGAACAGTGGTTGAAGACAGCATAAGACAGTGCAAATCAAGAAAACCTCAAAGACTCTGCAGTAGCGATCTATCTTTCGCTTTCAGTGCTGCCACTTCTATCGTAACCAGTTCAAGTATTCAGCTGCGGCTGCTGCTGCTGCTTCTACTACTACTACTGTTGTTAGTTCTGCTGCTTCTGGTCCTGATTGTGAACACAAACACGGTAGTTCAGACGCAGCTTAGATTTGAGCAATAAGTATTACTAAGTAACTATATCATATATCTAGATATATATATATATATAATATAAGTACTATTTAGATAACTAGACTCGACATAAATTTAGCACGCTTTCAATCGGTTGCCCCCAAGAAGTGTAGTCTCCTTGGAATGCAGTGGAGTCCACAAAATGCCTAACAGTGCACAACATGTTGCAAAGTCCTGTCATGCCATGCCGGTCCGTATTGAATTGAGATGGTAGATGGATGTTTGGGCTGGCAGTCTTGTACGTAGTTTGGCTACTACTCAAAACATCAGGATATTCAAGACACAAGACCAAGTATTTCCAACCTTTTTAGCTGTAGTGGCAGCTCTTCACCTTGAGTGTTTTTAATTAGCATGACAAGGCTTGTGGACTTGTATTTGGTCGAGATGTCAGTCGAGAAGATCCTTCAAGCAGATGATGAGGCCTGGAAGCTGGTGCCAAATGTATTGACTCTGTCACCAGAACTAGAAGCGGTGTAAATGAGGCCACTTAGTGTGATGTGTTGTCAAATATCCAGACTTGAACTAACAAAGAAGGCTGATAGAACGATTTAGGCTATATGTGCTTTGGGGGTCGAGATCTCAGAGTGCACATGTAAACTGTTTGAGATAGAACGTGCCACAACACCCAGAGGAGCCTGCCTAAAAAGAGTCGGACCTGGTGCAGGAAGTGCTGGATTTGCCACAGCGAGATTTAGCAGAAGCTGCAGAGGTGGAAAGACTACGCTTGGAATCTGAGACTTCCTCAACTTCAACATTGTTTCACATTGCTTCACATGAAGGAATGCAAGGTTATTTCTTCACATGGGCCAGACATGTGACATGCTTAGACATCAACATCATGCAACATCACTCTTCTTTGAGCCGATAGCTTACGTGAAACGCGTCCACGTCCACAGATGCGGTGTTCATACAGTATTGGAGCATTTTCCCGTACCGTAGTGGTGGCAGGGTTGCTTGCAACGTTTGAGTCAATAGTTTCGCAGAAGTTCGCCAGTTTTGAACCAAGCACCGCAAGCTGATTTAGGATCCAGATCAAGACCAAGTGTTTGTCACATTTTTGACTATTTGTGGGAATTCTTGATCTTCAAGTTTCAATGACAGGCACTGGCTATCATACGCCCGGAGGTGCTCGCAGCAGACGCACTTGTGTTGAACAAGACATTGCTTCGCTCGATGTTTCAATCCTTGCACCAGCAATCTCTTTGGTAGACGTTTCAGCATTTGTTTGAAAGGGATTTCGCTGAGTGAACATTGCATCTCAGCACTTTGGATTGAGGAAACCAATCTGCTGAAGGCTATGGCGGTCTTGCTGCGAGTGCTCGCAGCCCGTGCACATAGGTGACGGTGCTTCTGTCAGGGCAATGAGATTGAACTTACACTTACTTGTTTCATCAAACACCCAAAGTCTTGTTCTGCAACATGTTCTGCAAATGATTGATTTGGTCAGGCTAAGAGCTGGGCACGCTGTGAAACTTCTCACTGCAGCTGCAGAGGCCGCCTGGTTTGTCATGCTCAAGGGATCTCAGGGGTATGCCTCTAGATGTCCTTAGTCATCCGCACTGGATTGAGACACAACAAATCAAAGTCTTCAATCTATTCTATGTTACACAAGGTTTGAGTGAAACTGGATGACCAGGCTTGGAGTGACCTAGTGCGGAATGATGTATTTGCCAGGCTCGGAGTTCGAGCTGTCACGATTTCGCAGAGGCGTTTTGCCGCTCACTTGTTGAGCGCCAGGAGATCTTTGGGCGGTTAAACTTAATGCGTAGCGGTTTGCTTCAGATAGCTTCGTGTATTCACGCTTGGAGGTCATAGAACAGGCAGAGGCAGCCATTTTGCAATTCGTGTATGTCCAAGTTTCTGTCGTGTTTTTTGTTCTGTGTTTTGCTATCTGGCTTTCACAATTCCTGCGCCAGGACGCCCCAAGCCAGCCCCAATCTCAGCTAAGAGCGTGGCAAAGTGACCCCCCTGAACCGCATTTGCTGCTTCTCCAGGGACATTGCAATGGCCGCTGAAGCTACAGCAAAGTTGGTGACTTCTGGCTTATACAGGAGTGGCTGGTGAATCAACCTGTGTAGTGAAGAGATGGAGAAACAAAGCTTGGGAGAATTGGTGGGTCACACCCACACGTGAAGTTTACCTTGGGAGAATTGGTTCGACTGGGGTGGACAAGAGTCACAAGACAGCAGAAGGCACTGCCAAGCCTCGTGTGCTGCGAAACAGATTGGAGCCTCATCCATGCGGCCTGGAGTTGCTGTTGCAACATGCTGCGTGCGAAGTCCTAGAGTTTCTCCATTGAAGGGGCCCTGTTAAAGAAAGCATCTTTGTTTGCATGGGGCAGTGAAGTGTATAACCTGAAGTGAGCCTGGCTTGAAGCAGTCCTACCAAACAAATATTATTGGTTGAACCCTGAAAGCCTACCTTTCTTCTTAGGACAATGGATAAGTTTGATTTGGTCATATGATCATCGCTTTGATTCTCCTTGGAAGACTGACCAGCCTGAGGCGCCGTGTGCAAAGCTTCACACTGCCGCGGTTGAGACAGCTGGCCCTGGCCTAAGTATATCCATTTGACTTATCAAGAGAGATAGGGCACCGCAGGAGGCTGAACATAATTCAAGGTTGGCTCGGCAAATCATGACAATGATGTCGAAGCTGTCTAAAGCTGCAGTGTTGTTGCAAGTACAGCGAGCATCAGCAAAGGTTGAAATAATTGTGAACAACACCTCGCAGTGGCTGAAAGGCAAAACGGACACAATGCAGAAAGATAACAACCTGAGATTTTTGACTTTGCTGCGAAGAAGCAGGGGGCAAAACTTGAAATTTCCCCAGGTGGATGCAGGCATGAGCCTTAAATCTCCAGCCAGGGCCTCAGTGGGCTCAGGGCGCTGCAGGTGATTCTTGTTTTGATTTGTTTTAACACGACGTGGAAAAACTGTTATATATATATATAGGATCGTTCAGATATTGTGTATGACTTACTCAGAGGAGAATGTCGAACTGGTACAACATGTGCTTATCCTGTGACCACTATACAACAAGTCCAACTTGTTCGGGAAGCTGCATGGCAAAAGTACTTGATCCCTTATTTTGCCAGGCTTCGATAGCATTGCAGCAGCTTCTACACCAACAAGAGCTTATTGCTTTATGGCCGCAAAGCCTGTTTTGAAATTTGTAGGTTCAAGTGATTTGGATAGGCTGTGCGATCATATCCCATTATTTGTATAGTATACCGAATTTCTGAAGGTTTTGTCTCAAAGTGGTGCGCCAATGCCATTCAAGGTCCGTTTTGATTGAATGACAAGTTAGACATTTAGACGTGTTGCCTCACAAGCAAACACATCACTACAATTACTGTACAACAGGGTCTTTGGAGTCATTGGTGAACAACATGGACTTAACACAGAAGCACATCACCCAAGGCTGTGGAGCGGAGCACCGCTGAAAAGAAGTCCGAGTGAGAGCAATGTTCAGATGTCCGGACCTGTATCTAACCTCAAGCCAGTGAACTGCCAGCTCCCGAAGCAATGCCAAATCAAGCGTTGTAAGATCCTAAGGCTTTCAACAATGCCGCCATACTCTATTTTGACAATTTGTATGGGTAGAATATGGTATAATTGAAGGTGCATACGATACACTGAAGCTGAACATCAAAGGGAATGACGGTGTCATCATTTGACATCTACAGTACCCTATCAGTTGTGATTCGTTTCGGCAACGTCCGCTGTGGAGCAAGGAACATAGAAACATGCACGTTCTTTTGCGCATGCCGCAGACAAGCCCACTCGGTCACTGGACATGCTTTAATAAAGTATATAGCTTTAGCCAGTGGCCAAGGGTTTGGAGTTGAGCGCCCATGGGGCAGTCGATCGTGCGACAGTGCCCGTGCACCGCTCGTGATGGTCATGATGGGCTTGGATTAGAGCAGCTGAGACTTGTCAACACTCTGTCGAGACTGCTCAGAAACACGGAAGAGTTGTGATGTTTCAAAACACAGTGGTTAAATACTATGGTTTGTGATGGTCTCTAGAGCACATTCTAGCTTCATGCTCCTCCTCATCCTTGTCGCCGTCACTCCCTCCTCTTCTTCCTCTTCTTCCTCTTTCTCGGTCTCTCCGTCTCTCTCTTTGTTTTGCCTGTCTAGCCTTGTCGGCCACGATGATGCGTTTCATTTTTTCCCATCGTGATGCTCATCTAACAATCCTGCGGATAAGATGTACAATGTACTCACACACACTTGAGAAGGTTGCTCCGTGGAGCGTGATTTCAGGTAGCTTCGCGGTGTGCATTAGCCCTTTAAATCTAGTTACTGCAGGAAACAACGTATGAGACGGCGTTGCTCTGACTTAGACATCTCAAAGAATTGAAAAATTGCAGGTACGTGAGAGTGATCAGCTCTCATATCCCGTGCGTCAGGTAGCTTCATTGGACATGGTCCCTGAACGCACGCCATGTCCCCCCTGCTTCTGTACAGAAACGCTGGTAGGAAAGATTAGAAAAACTAGGGTAGTGTCCTTGGAAACAGGAGTGGACACACACACTGAGCCGTATCGGCGCAACTAGATCGGATCATGTAAGGTCAGGATAATAAATAGTGGAAGTGCTTGACAATGAAATTTCAATACTGTAAAATACATATCACAGCAGTCTGCGAAAGTGCCGGCACATAGTCTTTTTCCTCTTGGCCGCAGCGCCGCGGCGCAGTGTGCTGGTGAATGGCCTTTGGCCATATATAGCTGCATCAACTTCTGTGCGGTCGTGTGGGCGAGATGTTTGGGGTAAGTGTATTTTTGTAGGGTGTGGTGGCGTGATTGTAAGCCTGAAAGGCGTAGTCTGTGACTCCCTGCTGACTGGGGATCACGAATCTGCCAGGAATGGGTGGGGAGTTGGAAGGTGACGGTTCTGTTGAGAGGGTCAATCAAGAAACCGAGTAGATGGTCGTCGTCCACTGGCTCTATTTCAACTGGTTGTTCGTAAAATTCAGGATGGGCCAATGTAGTGATGGGAAGTGCTGATCTGTATTGTTCGTTGAGCAAGATGTATCGGTTGTCGACGTAGCGAGTGTTGAGCAAGTGAAGGCTTGGTTGTTGTAAGAAGGTGTGGTATGTGGTTTGCCAAGTGTGTTCGATGAGCGTGATTGCCACATTGCAAAGGGCTGGTGATAGCTGACTGCCAATGCCGGCTCCTTGAATTTGTTTGTAGTAGGTGTTGCAAGCTTGGAAAATGCATGAGTGAAGAGCTTGTTGAACGATAAGAGGAATGTGTTGTGTATCAAGTGTGCGTTGTTGTGGGTGGTGGATGTAGTGTCGACCGATGTGGGAGTGTTGGATGGGGTTGCCGGTAGACTGGACATCGATGGTGATGGTAGTGGTGTTGTGTTGTGCTTTCCAGCGGTTGCACAGGCTGATGACTGCGTCGACAAGGCGTTGTTGAGGTATGCTATTGAAGAAGCCGACAAGGTCGTCGTTGATCGGTGTGAGGTGGATGTCTTCGGGTGTGGTCTGGAAATGGTTGTGGAGGTGTTGCCAAAGGTTGGGTATAGATAATTGGCCTGGATGTTGAGGTAGAAGATGAAGGAGCATAATGTCTAGTGCTTTGGAGGTGGCTCGTAATAATGTGCCTGCGATGGATCTGAAGTAGCTGATGACTGTTCTACCCTTTCGCCAGGATTTCTTTTGTTTGAGGAAAACTACTCCATGTGGTGTGTAGAATTTTGTGCGGAAGCCCCAGGGGTATGCTTTGCGAATGTTGGCTGGGAAGGAGTGTGTGAGAAATTGGTGGAGTTGTTGGGCGGTGAGATCTGGTAGTGGGAGAAAAAGTTGTGGTGTATTCCATGTGGTGAGACATCCGTGGAAGTAGCGCTGTGGGCAAAAGAGTCGTAGGTTTTGTAGTTCATGGTCAGCATGATGGAGTACCAGCTTGTCTGTAAGAAACTGTTGAAGCTGTGTAACGTTGCGGGAGGTAAAGCGGGGCGTGTATAGAAGATTGTCAATGTGCTGTTTCCATTGTTGGTGTAGAAAAGGTAGGCTGTGTTGATGGAGGGCAGTGGGTAGACCATGGTGTCTTAGCCAGTGAGTGAGTTGTTGTTCAAAGTGTTGGAAATATTGCGTCTTTGTGGGAAAGAAAGTGCTGTTCATGTTGGCTTGTATGAATAGCTCAAGATGGCTGGGGAGCTGTAGGTCTTCAAGTGTAAGTACGTAGTGACCATCGTAGAGCGGCGGTGTGTGGTTGGGACGAAGCAAGGTGTGCATGTGTTGGCAGCTGCATGGCATGTCAGCGGCTGTGGGATGTGTGGAGAAGAGTTCTTCCCAACGTTTGTGGTTGTAGAGCCGGGAACGCAAAGTCTTGTGTGCTGCTTCGCGTAGTTTGGTAGTAGGGGGGTGGAAAGGAATGACGTGATGCATGTGGTGTTGGATCAGTGTGCGAAGCCATTTTTCCGTGGAAGACGAGAAGGTATTGTGGGAGAGAAAAGGAATGGTAAAGGGTTTGTTGGCTTTGGGTGGAGTGAGATTGCGAAAGCTGAGTGCTGAGTGGAGAAGGTGAAGAACACGTGATCGATCTGGTTCCTCTAGGCTGGCGGCCATTCGACGGAAAGCGTAAATTTCAAGATCAGTGTATTTGCCGCTGCGGATGGCTGTTGATGTTTGAAAAGATGAAAGTGTATGCTTGCTGAGCTCGCGTAAGACTGTAAGGGCGTGTAGGCGTTGACTTGTGTGAAGGTGGGGTTGCTTGATGGTGTGTTGTCGTCGTCGGAGCCGTTGGAAGAGACGTTTGTGAGTGGACATCCGTGTGAAAGTGGTGCGATGTTTTGAAAATTGCCAACCTGAGGCTTTGAGTTTGAGGTGTCTTTGGATATAGGGCCAATTGAGTGTAGGTTGCCATTCTTGGATCCGCAGGTGTTCGTAGGTCCATGCTTGATCATAGGTGTCGTGATGGGAAAGGTAAATAGTGCTGTAGTGGTGGAGGTTGTTCTTGGAGTGCCAGTAGCGTAGAGAAAGTTCAGCTGAAATGGGGTGGTTATTGTGTAATTGTTTGAGTTTTGCGTGTCGATTGTATTCTCGCTTGGGGATGGTGATGCTGGTAGAGCCGATGTATGTATGTCCATGTTGGTGGTATTGGTGTCTTGTGTGATGTTGGTTGAAAAAGAGCTTGGCATAAACTGCATTGGGATGTGTGAACATTTGGTAGTGATAAGTGTGTGGTGTAACTTGTAGTTGGTTGAAACGGGAGCGCCATTGTATAGAGTGATGTGTTTGCGAAGGAAAGGCAAAGAGGCATGTGAGGTGAATGAGACTGACCGAAAAAATAGCGTGTGACTTGTCAATGTAGGGTGTGAAGTGGACAAAGTGTGATAGGGCTGTGTGTAATGTTGTTAAAGATTGTAGGGTGTGATGTGTTGGTTGATGCAGCGCTTGTTGTACGAGTCAGGCTGCCAAGGCCGAACCCGCAGCGACCAGTTGCTGTAGTGAACGTGGGGGAAGCTTGAGGACCCGAGCTAGCGGGATGCCGTAGCGGGTAGCTGCTTCTTGGAGTTGTTCTTTGGTGATATGTTCATCTCGTAGAATCTGCTGGATGTTGGTGACTTGTGTCTGAGTGGCTGGTGGTAATGTCTTGAGCCATTTCTGAATGCCAGCTGCTGCATAGTTGGCTGGTGAGTTGTCATGGAGTGTTTGTGTGGTGGGATTGAGAATGGTCGTGGTTGTGATGGCGGTAGGGGCTGGAAGTGGGAGATGCGGTGTGTGGGTGGCGGATGATGGGGTATGGTGTGATCCTGGCTTGGTTGGTGTGAGCGCAATGCCATGATTCTTCAGCTTGTCGCGAGCGCGCTGGAGTTCGCTCTCTTGTTGTTGTAAGCGATCTGTCTGTTGCTGGAGTTTTCGGAGTGCTGTGCCTTCGCCGGCTGGTGGTGTAAGGCCTCGTAGAAAGTCAATGATGCGAGAAATAAGTGGTTGCATGAATTGTTTGGCTTCTGTGGTTTTGTTTGGAATAGACTGATCTGCTTGTTGGTGCAAATATTCAGCGATGTTGTCGATGTCCAGGTTGTGGGCCCTCATCTCTGGCAGCAATTGTGAAGTGAAGACCGCCTCCGCGATAGATCTGGTGGTGACAATGCCTGTGTAGCGTCCTTGGGACAAGATGCGTAGGCTGTGGTCCTGGAGGCCGAAACGGCTGAGCTGCCATGGGAAAATGTCGAGGACTTGTTGTCCTGCGAGGTTGTATTTCCTGGACCACTGTGTCGGCTGAATTGTCCGAAACAATGTGTGACCATGTACGGTATTGGTATCCAAATGGGTGTCGCTGGGAGTCCATGTGTCGGGTAGGTTGGGGATGTTGGGGGGTACCACACCAAGCTGTGGAGGCGTTGGGTGGTGAGATGCTGCGGGTGGGGGCAGGGGTTCAGGTGGAAACGTTGCTGGTGGTGCTGGAGAGGTAGTGGGTGGATCAACTGGAATGTTGGCGT